GAGGCTGAGGTGAGTGGATTGCCTGAGCCCGCGGGTTCGAGACCCGCCTGGGCAACTTGGTGAGACCTCATCTCTACAATAAATGAAAAATTAGCCGGGCGTGGTAGTGCACGCCTGTAGTTCCAGCTACTCAGAAGGCTGAAGTGGAAGGATCGCCGGAGCCCAGCAGGTCGAGGCTGCGGTGGCCGGGAGCGGCCACTGCACTCCAGTCTGGGCGACAGAGTGAGACTCCAATTCAAAAAAATACATAAATAAATAAATAAAGAGTAGGATTCTGGGGGCCATAGCCGCTTGGGTAGAAATCCAACCCCTGCCGCTTTCTTACTGTGTGGCTTTGGATATGCTGCTTAACTTCTCTGAACTCATCTGTAAACTGGGGATATTAACACTTCCCTCATGGGTTGGAGGTCAGGACAAATGAGCTGAGGTTTCACCCTTTTAGTACAGCTCCTGGTAAGCAGTGTGGACTTGTTGACAGACTATGGCGGACTGGGGTGTTCTGCAGTCCTGGAGAACACAGACTGTTGCCTTCCTCCCAAACCTCCTTGCATCCATCTGTGTGCGGGCAAATGCCTCTCACCCCACTCCTCAGGACAAATTAAAAAAGCCCTGATTGGGTGTGTTTGCCCATCTCCCTGGTGTCAAAGCTCCCACCATGACCGACTTGAAGTCCTCCAGTGGGACATCTGCGAACACGGGCAGGGAAGAGACAGGTACAGTGAACCCCAGCTCCAGCACACCACTGCCTCCACGTCACCAAAGCAAGGGTGTGGAGCAGAAATCTCTCAGTCCATGGCCGTGACTGGCAGCGGCTGATGGGGAACCCGGGTCAGGCAACTGAGTCCGTACAACACAAAAGCTGCCTTAGCCGGGCTCGGTGGCTCAGCCTGTAATCCCGCGCCTTTGGGAGGCTGAGGTGAGTGGATGGCCTGAGCCCGCGGGTTCGAGACCCGCCTGGGCAGCGAGACCTCGTCTCTACAATAAATCAAAAAATCAGCCGGGCGAGTAGCACATGCCTGTAATTCCGGCTACTCGGAAGGCTGAGGCGGAAGGATCGCCGGAGCCCAGCAGGTCGAGGCTGCGGTGGCTGGGAGTGGCCACTGCACTCCAGTCTGGGCGACAGAGTGAGACTCCAACTAAAAAAAAAAAAAAAAAAAAAGCTGCCTTGACCAGAGTGATCACTGTTCACATGGGCAGGAAGAGAAAGAGCATCTGGGGGTGCTCTATGCCCTCCACAAGGGCCATGCCCCACCCCCACTCCCGGCGCACCCTTTCTCCCTAACGTTCCTCTGCCTTCCATGCCTATCTTGACACTTTCCCTCTGCTCATTTCACACGTCTTAGAAACTCTGACCCCGTTTCACCCACTCAGCCCACCCTGGAAGCAAACCCTAACCCTCGCCCCACAGAGTTGATGAACCAAGAAAAACATGGGCTTGGATGCTCACTTGTGCACACCTGAGCCGCAGCAGAATCACCTGGAGAAGGCCAGGTATGGCGACTCACACCTGTAGCCTTACCACTTTGGGAAGCCAAGGCGAGAGGGTTTCCTAAGCCCAGGAGTTGGAGACCAGCCTGGGCAACTTGGCCAGATCTCAGCTCTACGATAAATTAAAAAATTAACCGGGCGCGGGTGCACACACCTGTAGTCCCAGCTACCTGGAAGGCTGAGGCAGAAGGATCGCCTGAGCCCAGCTGGTTGAGGCTGCTAAAAGATGGCCGTGAGCGTGCGACAGCACTCCAGACTGGTGACAGAATGAGATTCTGATTTAAAAAAAAAAGTCACCTAGAGGGCTTGTTAGACAAGGGAACCACCCTTTGAAAACCGCTGGCTTAGGGTGAGGGCTGGGCCAGCGAGAGGGCAGCCAGATTCAGCAGGAAACTGCACGCTGTGCTGGGTCGTGGAGAACTTGGTGTCCGGAGTTCCAGACTCTTGTCTAGGCCCAGGAAAGACTGAGACTTGATTCGCTGTGGCATTCCACCCCAAGCCCTCCCCAGCCTAGTTGAGTGACAATCCTAAGCCTTGTCCTTGAAGGCTCCCACCAACGTCCACCTCTGTGCCCTCCACATCCACCAGGCCCCCAGGCTGGACCCCCGGGCACCTCCCACGTCTCTGTAACAGGACTAGGTTTTTAGGCAGGGGAGGGCAGGCCAGGTGGGCCACAGACACAGCTGAGATCTGAGTTTCTGCCTGAGAGGCAGCAGGGTACCGTGCCCCCCATGCTAATAAGGGGTTCTCAGACCCACTCACTGCTTTCCCTCTCCTTCCTTCAAGGTCCATAGAGCTCCCTCCACGGGCAAGCAACAGAGAACTAGTTTCTTCCTCATGCTCCCTGGCCACGTTGTGGGCAAGTGACAAGGGTCCACTGGGGGTTTCCTTTAGGTTGGGGGGTCGTAGACAGGGTATGAGAGGGTGCAGGCAACTGCTCCCCACCCCTCTCCTCCTCTCCCTTCCTGCTGATTCTCTAATCTCAGCCTCCTGAGTAACTAATCCCTCCTAATGGGATCAACTTTCCTGTGTCTCTGTCCCTGCATTTTATTTACATAATGAGGACAGGGAGGCCCTCCTCTAAACAGCTTGGAGGGCAGCTGGGTGGAGGGCAGGAGTGAAATCTGGGGGTGCAGGAGCATCGGCCCACCCTGAGGTTTTGGGGACCGTGGAGATAGGTCTTAGCTCGGTGCTGGTTTGAGGCAGCAGCTCAAGATAACAAAGTGTATGCGTGCATGTGCATGTTTGCACGTGTGTGTGTGTGTGTGTGTGTGTGTGTGTGTGTGTGCACCCGTGTGCGGCTGGGTGCTCAGTTAATACTCAGCCAGATATTAATCCCTTTTTATGCAAAGAGACGATGGGTTGTAAGCCCCGAGAAATCAAACTTGAAACTCAGCCAGCCTCCTGCCCTGTTCCCCTCGCCCCTGCCAAATGGACACGTCTGTTAACGAGGGAGATAAACGGAGAGGCCATCAAAGCAGATTTTCAATCTGTCGATTTCGCTTTGGGGCCTTCAGAACCTGATTCCTCACCTCCCCCTTCTGCCCTGACTCCGGCCTCCTCTGCCTTGGATTCCCACTTTGTTCCCCAGCCCCCACGCTTTTATCTCCCCAAGTTGGATCTATTGACCCGACTCAGAAGGGCTCCTTTCATCGGGCTCCAGATCTGCTAATGGAGAGGCAGGCGGAGGGGGTGGGAAGGGGAAGGGGCCCCTGCTGCCCGGAGGGTGGAGGCTTGGGGGAGGGGAGCAGATGGAGGTCTGGGCAGGTGGGGGGTGCTCGTCCTTGGACGGAGGGAGATGGAGAAACCCCACCAAGGCAGAGGGAAAGTCCCCAGAGCGGGGGGACATGTACACTTCTATAGTGCAACTCCCTGGTACATTGACTCAGTTTCTCCACTTTGAATGCACTTTGCTCTTCTTTACTGTCTTGCCAGGGGGCACCCCAAGCCCATTCTTATGAGTGAATACAAAAACAGCACTGGAGGGAAACAAAACACTCTTCCATCCACAAACCCCCCAATGGCCGAAAGAAAAGAGGATGAAGAGGAAGGGGGGTGGACTTAGCCCAAGCTGACTCCCCCGACCCCACCTGGCACGCAGTGCCCATCAGCCCTTCGTGATGGGTGGTTCTTCCCATTCTGCAGATGACAAACACGTGGATAGGCCATCAAGCTGGTAGCCAGCAGACGCAGACTTGTGACCCCCGGGCAGTGGCAGTTTTCACCACACTGGGCCTGGCAGGAAGGGCTCAGGGAATATCTGTAGTTACAGCACAGAGGCCAACGGATCTCCAGTAGGTGCCATGCCTGTGCCAATTTTACAGATGGGGAAACTGGGCCATGGAACAACAGTGACTTGCAGAAGTCACAACCAAAAGTCAGGAGACCAGTCACTGGGTCCCAAGTCCTGCTGCAGCTGTTCTGCCAGGCCCCTGGTCTCTTCTTTACCCTGTGTGCCCTCACCAGATCCTCAGCACTCCGTCTCTCTGTGCCTTTTGGAGGGATCACTTAGCAGAAGATCATCCTGTCTTCTGCTAGAGACTCTCCATGTCCCCACCCGCTCCTGCAGCCTCTCCCGCCCTGGCTGGGCTGGGCAGAGGGGCCTGAGGTGTGGCCAGGGGTCGAACCTCCCCCTTCCTGCTTACCCTGCCCAGGGCCTCCTGGGCTGCCTACCTTGCAGACTTCACTTGCCTATGATGTTCCTCACCTAACGGGGGAGACTAGGCATGGCATTTATGATTATACCCGTTTTATAGATGAAGAAATCAAGGCTAGCTAGGAAGGGTATGCTGGAGAATACCTGTCAATCAGAGATTTAAAGCCAACCCGGGATTCTGGCTTTAAAACGCGCAAGGACAGCTTTCTCAATAAGCACACAGGCGAATGCGCCCGGGTGACACTTGACAAGGTGGGTGAATGAGCATACCACCTCCTGGCCTCCTAATGAAAGGCATCAAACAAATTCCCCCCCGAGCCCCGCCCACACCAGCGGTGCAGCAGCGAGGGCAGCTCGTGAGAAAGGAAGCCTTTGAAAGCATCAGACGTTGCCACATCAGGCTATAGAAGGGGAGAGGGCAGGAGGTAGCATTTATGAGGCACTTCATGTATGCCACAGTCATCTCTTCCCGGCCTAGAAGGACTAGAAGGACCTCAGCAGGGATGTCACCACTTTCCGGGGGGGAATCAGTCAACTAGAAGAAGGATGGGCCTAGACGCCAGGCCTCTGGACTCCCCAGCCCAGTGCTCTGGCGGCCACCTGTCGCTGCTCTAACTTTCAGCGGACGTCGTTTCTGGTGGATCAGTTGATAGTCTCATCTCCTCTGCACACTCTGGGAATGTTATCTAGGACACGGAGACCCACCCCAAGAAGAAGCGGGCAGGTGACCCGAGGAGAGGCCGGAGGGAGGCCCCGCCATGTGGGAGCAGTACCACGTTGCCCACCTCGGTTCCTCCGGAGTGCCCATCTCCAAAGAGGAACCAGTGTATGCCCCTCCCCCAAGTCTCCCAGAGAACTAAGGAGAAGGCTTGGGGACATTTCCTTGTCGCTTGAGGTTTGTTTGGCTGTCACTCACTGGACAGGCTGAGTAGGCCCCTTACAGAGATGAAATAGCCAGAGACCGCACTCATTTGCCATCAGAGGCAGAAGCATACACCCCGTCAGCAGGGAGAGCCAGGCCATGTCCCCACCCGCTCCTGCAGTCTCTCCCGCCCTGGCTGGGCTGGGCAGAGGGGCCTGATGTGTGGCCAGGGGTCGAACCTCCCCCTCCCTGCTTACCCTGCCCAGGCCCTCCTGGGCTGCCTACCTTGCAGACTTCACTTGCCTATGATGTTCCTCACCTAACGGGGGAGACTAGGCATGGCATTTATGATTATACCCGTTTTATAGATGAGAAACCAAGGCTAGCTAGGAAGGGTATGCTTGAGGATACCCATCAATCAGTAGCAGAGCCTCATGCTTGGGCACCCAGGCCCGCATCCTTTCTCCTCCCTCTCCCCTCATGGGCTGTGGTCTCTCTATTCCTCCAATCAGTGTCCAGTGTCCAAGACCCCAGAGTCCCTGCTGGAGATGGAGGTGCCAAGCTGTGGCTACACCGAATGTCCCAGACTCCCCCAGGGTGCTCACCCTGCAGACATGACCTTGGTCATCAGGCTGCCAAGGGTCAGCTGCCAGGTCACTGCAAGCGGGTCCCTACCAGCAGCTGCCCAGCCCCCGCTGTGGGTCGGCCCTCCCCACTGCTGGTCCCAGTGGCTCGAGCACCCCCAGAGCAGCTGTGAGAACGGCTCTGGCTGGGGAGAGGCAGATGGGCCCAAGGGGGCTGGGGACGGGCCGCCTGCCGGGAGCTCTGTGTCTTTCTACAAGGTGGAACAGCACCAGCCCCTGGCTCTTTCTGCTGGCAGGGTGGATGCAGGGCATGGGCCAGCCCCAAGCTGTGAATGACACCGGCAAGGCCCAGGCCAGCTTTGGCAGCACACTTCGTGTGAGAGATGCCTCACTGGGAGCGCTTGGGCAATCCCCTCTTGGCATCCTCACCTCCGTCTTAGCGAGGCTATGATGTAGCATCCTTATTTCACAGGTGAGGACACTGAGACCGGTGGAGACGTGAGACCACCTGCCCAAGGGCTACCTCCCAGCGACTTCAAGGCCAGAGCTCGCCTCATTCTCCCTCTGCCTCTCTCTGCCGGCTCTCAATTCCTCGTGGCATATTTACCTTCCTTATTTTGTCTGCTTTTGTTTGGTTTGATGTGAAGACGAGTTTGCCCAGAAAGCACAGCAGCAGAAGGAAGGGGGTGTGGGGTGGAACCACGCTGAGTGGCAGGAGGGAGTGGATGCTGAATTAAAAGCAGGTGGCCACGAACGTAATCCAGCCAGGGAAAATTCGAGATGCATTTAGATGCCAGCGTAAGAGCTTCGTCAATTGGGCTGGTGGTTTGGTGGAAGTCCTTTGGGCTTGGATGCAAGTCCTGGCCTGTTCTTGCCTGTGTGTCTGACAGCCCCAAACCTCTCTGAGCCTCAGCTTCTCCTGCTGATAAACGGTGACAATTGTGTCCCTTTGACAGGACTGTTTCCACAAGGATTAAATAAAGCAGTGTCTGTGAGAGCGTGTTGCAAACTGCCAAGTGCCACACAATGGTGAGGTTGTCTTTTTTGATTCTCCGCTCCCAGAGGTCTCTAAAGTGCATGGGACGGGCCAACCCCATCGAAGTGGAGGAAGTGAGCTGGCTCGAGCCCCTCTTGGGGGCTGCGCCTCTCTGGCTGGGCCCACCCTCCATGCTGCCCACCCCGGCGCTATCTGAGGCAGCTTCCTAGGGACTGGGCACGGCTGGCAGAATGAGGGTGAGGTTGGGACTTGCCTGACAGCGGCAGGGCGGCTCTTGACAAGGAAGGCTACTCCATGGAGTCCAGGGCCTACAAGACAGGACAGCAGTCCGCCCATCTCTACTTCAGCTCTGCTTGGCCTCCTAGCCACCTGCCTGGTGGAGGGGTCTGGTCAGGCAGCTTAGCAAGATAAGGGAACCCTGCAGCAAGGGGTAAGAGGAGAGCAGGTCCCTGGGGGATGCACCGGCCATGGAGGGGCCAGTGGTGGAAGGCTCTTGGACTTCAGGGCCTCTGGCAACGTCAGGCCAAGGCCTCGGAACGCTTGGCTGCTCTTTCTGGGCCTACAAGGGTCTGAGGCTCATTCAATGGGGTGGACCTCTTTAAGAACCCAAAATATCAAATATAAAATGAGGTGCAAGAGTCCTGGAAGTGCAGGAGGTGCCAGGAGTGGCCTGCAGTCTCGCACATGCTCAGAAGTCACGAGACTCATGTAAAACACACACCCTCACCGCCTGGGGCACCTCCAGGCACACAGCTGGGCCAGGGTAGGAATGGCATGAGTCCGGGGCTAGGGATTCTAGGACCACCCCTCCTCTGCAGCACAGGCAGGTACCCTCCAGGGCTCAGCTTTCTCATCTGCAAATGAGGGGACGAGAGGGGAACCCGAAGGTTCACCCCAGCTGTCGCTCCTTCTGAGCTTCTGCAATTCTGTGAACCTGAGGATGCTGAGAGGGTGCCCTCAAGAGGGCTGAGGAGCAGGGAGGAGGAGATGGGTGGGGTGGCAGGCTCTCTCTGGGGGTGAGGCTGTGACAGGCCCTCCACGGCAAGGACCACCAGCACCGCACGGGAGAGGATTCCCCCCCACCCCCAGTCCTCCCTATATAGAGTCAGGGTCTGTTTACAAAAACAACTAGCCTGATGAGCACTCCCTCCTCCCACCAAGCAGAGAATCAATCTTCAAGAAGCTTCCCCAAACTTCTCCTGCAATGGATACTGGAGTTATGAGTCCAGAAGGTGACATGGGCTGGGAAGTGCACCTCGATGCAGAGGCAGCCCTGAGTCTAAGCCCAGGAAGAGCTGTGGACCCAGGTCAGTGCACACACTCTGTCCTCTGGGGATGGGGCCAGGCCAGCCTCCCGCCATCTTCTAGAGTCTAGCCTAACCAGCCTCTACCCAGGAGAGACACTGGCTCAGGTCAGTTCTCTAGGAAGGCCAGGGCGCAGGGGAAGAAAGGCCTCCATCCCCTGGGTGATGCCGCTCAGCAAGTATGACTGGGTACCACTTGGGTGAGGCCATCTACATGTCCCAGATACGCAGCATGGACTCTCGGAGCAATACACAAGTGCTTCAAAACTGCTGACAGATGGACACTGAGGGGCACCAGGAAAGCCCCCACGGAGAAAGTCACACTCCAGCGTGGTCTTAAAGATAAGTAGAGAAGGGGAATGGCATGTTTGGGAAGCAAGAAGTAGTTTCATGTGGCCGAAGGTCAGGGCACCTGGAGGCAAGGGGGTGATGAAGGCTTATCCCATAATGACGGCCACCAGCATTTGCAGAGAGACTGCCACCCCCTGGGCCTGTGATGGACTCATTTAAACACTCACAACAAACTACAAAGCTCGCCTGGCTCCCTCATCCTGCAGGTTGCAGCTTTTGTGACTTCCTTCAGGAAGCAAGCCTCCCCCAACTCCTTGGTGGATGGGGCGGGGGCCTCATGGTTACCCCTCTTCACAGTATCATCATTGCCGCCCCCTTGCCTGTCTCCCCCGCCAACTCTGAGCTCCATGAGAACAGGGACCTGTCTGATCACGGAGTCACCGTCAAAGTCTGCAGTGGGACCTGGCATGCGGTGGGACGTTCACTGGTTGGATGGATGGGTGGACGGATGGATGGGCGGATGGATGGAAGCAAGGGAAAGGGGATGCATGGAAGGACAGAGGGGAGCATGGACAGACAGAAGGATGGGTGAATGGATAGAGAGAAGGATGGCAAGATGGATGGACAGACGGATAAACGACGGATGGCGACATGTATGTACACCTGGAGGGTGAACAGAAGAATGCACAGACGGACGGATAGATAGAAGGAAGGAAAGCTGGATGGATGGATGGACAGATGGATTTGTGTATGTGCACATGTCTGAACGGATGGACAGAAGAATGGATAGATGGATGGATGGATGGATGGATGGACGGACGGACAGATGGAAGCATGAATGGATGGATGGCTAAGACACCTAGTGGCATCAGAGTCATGTCCCATCATGCCAAGAATCCCCTCAGACAGCATCTGACCCAACCCCTTCATTTCACAGGTAGAAAACTGAGGTCATGGAGGGGAACCAGCCCCCTTGACTTCTGAGGAGAGCGGGGCGGGGGGCGGAGCTCAGGCGTGCAGTGTCCACACCAGAGCCTGCCCAGGTCCTGCGCTGATGGGAGTGAATCCCAGATCGCTGGGCCCTCACCTGTGCTCCCCACTGGTCCTCTGCAGAGACAGGTCTCCTGAGCTCACACCTCTTGCCAAGGCCCCTTCTCCTTTGGGCCTTATTTTGCTAGGGTCCCCCTCCTCAAGATGCCCCTGCCTCTTCTGGACTCACTCAAACCCCTTGTGTTTCTTCCCTGGCTGCCCAGCCTGCTGTCCTGTGCTTCACCTGCCCCCACTCTATGTAGGTCGGGTCCCATGGCAGGAGGGGGACCCTGTGGAGAGCTGATTGTGTTACCACCTCCTTAATTAATATATGCACATAAGAGCTACCTGTGAGGGTGGGGGAGAGGAACAGGAACGAGGGCCAGGGGAGGGAGAGAGGGAGCACACGGGAGCCCAACGAGTCCTGTCGCATGCAGGCACAGTGGCCGGAGCCAGAGGAAAGCCAACCCACCACTACCTCAGGGCCAGAAGCTGGGAAGAGGTGAGGGGACAGCACTGCCACTTCCAGCTGCTCCCCCAAGCTGATTAATGCCAATTAATAGATGTCCCCACTGGGCTGCACGGTGCTACCATCAGCTGCTCTCAGGAGGGTGTCCGGGCTGCCGTGCAAGACTGCCACGGGATACCAAACCTGTCTCTCCTGGATGGTTCTGGCCTCATTCTTCCGCTGACCTCATGGTGTGCCTGGGGACAAGATCCTTTCTCTTCTGATCAGAGGGTCTCCTCTTTAGTCTGTGCTGAGTCCCTACAGCTCCAAGGCTCCCCCATCCCTCCCACAGAGCCGGGGCGTTCTCAAAAGCACCTGCCGGAGAAGAGGTGCTCACAGGGGTGAACAGGAAGGGACTGAGGGAACAGCCTTGGGGTTGGAAAAGGGTCTCTATTCCCTGCCTCTCAAGATTGGTTGGGTCAGACAAGCTGGGAGGTGGCCAGGTTCTGGAACAGGCAGACCACAGAGCAAGGAGGCTTATGGAAGCCAGGACTAAGATGGGGCCGATCCCTACCCTAGACTAGACCCTGCCTCAAAAGATGGGGCCGGGGACAGGCTGGGGAAAGGTGGCCAAAATGGCCTTCCAGGAAAGAGTGGGGGAAGGGGCCTGCGGGGAATAAGAGGAGGAGGAGATGGGAGGAAAACCTGGGTCTGCCCCAGCAGCCCCCTCCACCCTGCTACCCTCCCCAGGCCGGAGCAAAGGCAGCGAAGGTGGAGTTGAGACCTGCCCATTCTCATGCAGGCAGGGGAAGAAAGAATCAATCAATTCATTAGGCTGACACATCTGCGAACATGGCTTCCGGGACTTGACGGGCATGGCGGGCAATGGTGGCTTAATGGGCACTTTCACTCTGAAGTGACACCTGGGCCAGCTGCTTCTTCCAGGGCATGGGATATGCTTCGAGATGCGGGGAGTTGCAGGCGTGGCTGCTCCTGAGGCAGGCGAGGCAGAGGAGCCAGAGGATGGAGGAATTGAGTGGCTGGGGAAGGGCCCCCTCCCAGCCACTGCGCTGGCCACACTGCCTCTGCTCCCAGCTGGCCAGAGGGAGCAGGATATCCGGACAGGCCTTTCTCAGGCCCGCCTGGGGCTTCGGCCCAGCCTGGGCAGTGGGTGCGGCTGCACGAGAGCTGGTGTGTTGGTGGGAGAGTTTACTTCCTGTCTCTGGGTCTGCTGGGGAGTGCTGACTGGGGGACCCATAGGCCCATAAGTGGTCGGTTCTATGATCTGGTGGGGAATTCACATTTCAGAACCTGGATTTTTTTTTCCCAACGCCAAACCACTGCAGGCGTCGGGGTCTCGAGAACGGGGCAGCTCAGCGAGGTGTAAGGATGGCTCTGTCCTCATCAGCGGCAGAGCTGGGCACACACCTGGCCTCCCTGGGTCCCACAGTCTGTACTCTTAGCCACATTCTTTTTTTTTTTTTTTT